TAGCTCTCCACAAACGTGCGGGCTTCCGTCATGAGCTCAGGTAAAGCCAGGTGGGGCGAGCGAGCCCCCTCGAGGACGCAGTTGCGGAAACGGGTTACGCCATCCAGCTGGTCGAGGGCGGTTTGGTAGTTGGGAACGGAATAGATTCGCCCAGCAGGGCGTGACACCACCATACGACGTGCCTCCTTGGGGTCCTTGTAGACCCCGTCGATTCGTCCACCCCGAACAACATGATACTCGGGCCAGCTGGGGATGGGGGTCTCGTCGACGAAGATAGGGTTTCCAGTCCTCCCCTCTGGTCTGTAGGTAGTGGCGGCCGCGACGGCATCGCAAATCTCGGCGACAGAGGAAAGGAGTGCCAGGTGATCTGAAGAAGGAGAGAGGGCACGAACCACCCCAAGGAGGTCCTTGTACTCCGGGTCGGCACGTCGGCGAGATCGTGCGGGGCACGCAGAGTGGATGTGACCAGGGTGAGGAGTGGCGCAGCTAGGGCAGACGTACTTGTCGCAGTCGACGAGGTCGTGAGATGTGTGCAGGACGTCGTCCGTCGTACAGAGGAAACAGGCCGTGGTCATGGTGATAGTGCGGAGGACGTCGAAGGAAAGTGTGTCCAGGGGTCTCTTCACGAGCGATGTGGGGAAGGTGGTTCCTTCCGGGTACTTGGTCCCGACTGCCGCTTGGCGCGCCTCTCGGAGTTTTGAGACGACGAGGGAGCAGTCGTCGAGGTACTCGAGGGCATCGCGGCATTTCTCGAGGGCGTCATCGCGATACTCGGTGAGGACGCGGATTTGGTCCTCCAGCAGCGACTGCCTGACGGCGAGTTCACGATACGTTTCCAGAAAGTGGGAGATGGCGCGGAAGTCACCGGTCTTACGCTCGAGCGTGACTTGGTTGTGCGGGAGTTTGGCGACGAGGGAGAAACAATCGTAGGGACGGTTGACGAGGGTGGATAGGATTCCCCAGTCGACCACGAGTGGGGCCACTGATCCTGCTTCTGGGAGGAAGGGGAAGGCGGATTCGGTGGGAGTCCAGATGTCGGGAGTGGCCCTCGATGAGGTGGTCGGCATCGGGACTCGTGGCCTTCGGTCTTGACGCGACATTTGCAAACGGTGCAGTAGGAGTAGTAAGGAGAGGCAAGGATTCGTTCTCGACGTGGGAGCGCGGTGTAGGCGAATTCGGGGACAGCGGCAGTCCACTTAGCGTAGTACTGCTCGTATGGATCGCCGGTGTAGTAGATTGAGGGCACGTCGGGGGCGAAGTCGGAGGTTGCGGAATCCAGGATGGGCGAAAGGAGGGAGGGTGCGCTGCCTGAGAGGTTAGGAGAGTTGGTGCAACTCCTTATACTCCGAGAGGATCTCGTCTCCGCCTCCTTCCAAGGAACTTTCCGGTTCCCATGTTGCTTCCGCAGTAGGGTACCCTCTCCATTTGATGAGATATCTCCGGCGTGATCCCGTACCCTTATGGCGGAGTATCGCCTCCACTTCCCATCTCGCTCCATCTTCCGCATCATCAGGGGGAGGACGGAGATAATTGGGGCCGTGCTCGGAGGTTTCGACGAATGGAGTTAGCAATGCTGCGTAGAAGACAGGGTGGACTCGCCTCCACGTCTTTGGCAGATCAAGGCGGTACGTCGCCTTCCCCATCACTTCTTTGATGGTGAAGGGCCCTTCACGTTTCGGGTTGAGCTTCTTGGACAGGCCTGGGAGTCGTAGGTTCCTTGTGTCCAGCCATACCTTCTGTCCTTTCCTGAAGGGTTGCGTGTGTGTCTTGACTCGTCGTTCCACTGCCCGTTGGGCCCCTTCCATTGCGTAGAAGGCTTCTTCTCGAGCGCGTGTTAGGTAGTCCATGCGGTTCTGAGCGGTTACGTTGGTGGATTTCTCCGTGATCGGGGGAATGCCGCGAGGTTCGTATCCCATCATGAGATAGAAGGGTGATGCCTTGGTTGTCGAATGTTCCCGAGAGTTGTGCGCAAACTCAGCGTCCGGAAGAAGCTCGTCCCATTGTTCCGGGTTGTTGGCCGCAAAGATCCGCAGGTACGTTTCCAACTCCTGATTCATCCGCTCCGTCTGTCCATCGGTTTGCGGATGATAGGCGGTGGAGAGAGCACGTTCCACACCACATAATGAGCAGAGTTCTTCCATGACCTGCGAGGCAAATTGAGGACCACGGTCGGAGATCATTCGAGTCGGTAGTCCGAAGCGTCGCCATACGTTATCATGGTAGAGTTTTGCGGTGCTTTCTGTGGTCTCGTCGTCTTTGCAAGGGATAAAAACTGCCCCCTTCGTAGAGTCGTGGTCCACTACGACATATAGGGAATTGAAGCCATTGCGGGTGGTTGGGAGGGATGTGGCGAAGTCCATGGTTACGCAAGAGAACGGTGTAGCGTGCGACTGGGGCGGTATTGGGATAATCGGGATTGACGTCGGGTGGGTGTTGACCTTCATCTGCTGGCACGTGGCACAGCCTTTAACGTACTTCGCAATGAAGTCTCCCATTCGTGGCCACCAGAAGTCGCGCTTGACTAGTACAGTAGTCTTCTGGATGCCTGGGTGTCCGGCTGAGGGGAGGTCATGGTAGAGTTTGACGACCCGTCGGCGTAGGTCCATGTCGGGCGGAACATATACAGCGTCTTGGTACCAGACAAGTTCTCCATCCGTTGCCCAATCGGCTAGGGACATCTTCGCGGGTGGGGGTCCATGCCCTAGTAGGGCATCCATGGCCTCCTTCACTAGCGGTTCCTTCTCTCCGCATGCTTTGACATCGTCGAGTAGGTCGGCATTTATCGCGCGTATGAACAGGTGCCCAGGGAGGAGGGTCGTGTAGTCGCTAGTGAAGTGGATCTCGTCTGGGTCGACTGTGAGCGCGCGTCCAAAGACTTTGTCCGGTAACATTGTGATGTCGTCGTTATCATCGCTACCATCGTCATGGTCGGCACGCCGGGAGAGGGCATCGGCTATAGTCATCTGGGACCCGGGTACATGAACCAGCTTGTAGTCAAACTCGGAGAGGAAGAGGGACCAGCGCGCCTGTCGCCGGTTCAGTTTGCGCGCGGTTCTCCAGTACGTGAGGTTCTTGTGGTCTGAGCGAATTAGCACTTCATGGGGGGCACCAATGAGGTAGTGGCGCCATGCTTCCAGTCCGCGTACAATGGCAAGCAGTTCACGGTCGTAGATCTTGTAGTTACGCTCAGCGGGGTTCAGTGATTGCGAGATGAAAGAGCAGGGATGCCAATCGCCATTCTCGTCCTGTTGGAGAAGCACTCCTCCAGTAGCAAACTTGGAGGAGTCGCATTCAATTGCGAACGGTTTCGAGTCGTCGGGCATCAGGAGGGTGGGAGCCTTCATGAATTCGTTCTTCAGGTCGGAGAATGCCTCTTGTTGTGTTACGTCCCAGTGCCAGCGCACGTCTTTGCGCGTGAGGTCTACCAAAGGTCGTGCTCGTTCCGAGAAATGATGGATGAACTTGCGGTAGAAGTTGGCAAATCCTATGAACGATCGGACCTGTTTGACGTTGGTTGGTACCGGCCAGTTACTGATCCCCTCCATCTTCACCGGGTCCATTCCTATGCTTCCTGGTCGTATGATTATGCCAAGGAATTCCACTTCCTCAACGTCAAACTGGCATTTCTCCGGCTTAAGGTAGAGGTCGTGCTGGCGTAGTCGCTCGATGACCATACGTGTTCGCTTCTTATGCTCCTGTCGATCGGCTGAGTAGATCAGGATGTCGTCCATGTATATAACCAGCCAGCCCTCGCGGAGCATGTCATCGAAGATAACGTTCATCATACGTTGGAACGTAGAGGGGGAGTTGCATAGACCAAAGAACATCACGGTGGGTTCATAGAGTCGCGGTGGAGACCCGTTTGTGCCTGGCACAGCAAAGGCTGCCTTCCATTCGTCTCCCTCTCGGATACGGACATTGTTATATCCTGCACGCAGATCCATCTTGGTGAAGACCTTTGCGTGTTTGAACTTATCCAGGAGGTCGGATATGAGAGGGAGCGGGTAGCGATCCTTCACCGTGTTCTCGTTCAGCGTTCGGTAATCCTGACAAGGTCTCCACGAGCCGTCCTTCTTAGCTACGAAGAAGAACGGTGCAGCGATGGGTGACTTCGAGGGTCGAATGTAGCCCTTGCGTTCGTTTTCCTCGATGAACTTATCGAGCTCCTCGCGTTGCTTCTGGTCGAGGGGGTAAACGTGGGTCTTCATCTCAGTAAAACCGGGCTTCAGGTTGATCTCGTGGTCGTAAGCCGTGTGTCGGGGTAGTCGTGAAGCGGTGCCCTTGTCGAAGACAGAGAGGAGGTCGTGGAGGTACGCAGGGACCAGCTCCTCAACAGTTTTAGGCGTCTCACTAGAGGCCTTTGCTGCAGCCATCTGTGTTGCACTCGTCAGCTTCCCCAACGATGGGATTGCCGGAGCCACGTTGCCCTTGGTGGTTCGCTTGAAGCGATCCATAGTTGGTTCGACAGGAGCTCCACGGGACCATATAGTGGTATCGTCGTCAAATTCCCTGGTAAGCGGGGCCTCTGGCCAGCTCAGGGACATCAGGAACGGGTTCTGGGGGTCGTACGAGAACAGCATCTCGTCTCGTTCAAGGTCGGAAGTCATACGTGCAATCATTTCTTCGTGTGCTTCCTCGTGGTAGTCTTCCTCCCCTTCCTCCAGCTGAGTGGGAAGTGAGGTGAATCTCTCTTGGTGCCGTTCCATTAGGATTGGTTCGTCCGTGGTCGTGAGGCGGTCCAGCTCGACTATCTCCTCGTCGGCTACTTCCTCAACGGTGGTTCGTAGAGATGCAAACCCAGGCTTGGTTCTAGTCTCGGGGATCGGTTCTGACACTTCGCGCTTCACCCAGTCAATAGTGGGGTTCAGCTGCTGCAGCCAGTTCCACCCAAATAGTACGTCCTGCTTGCCGATGCTACAAACGTAGGCTGGGATATGGCGTCGTGTTCCAGCCCAGTCGTAGATGAGTTGGACACGATGCGTGATCGTTCCTTCTCTGTTGGGAGTGCCGTCGACGTTGAACACTCGTATCTGGGCGTCCAGCTTCTCGGGGATTATCCCTGAGCGTACAAGCATGCGAGGGTGGATGAACGTGGATTGTGCTCCACTGTCGATGAGGGCCTTAGTGTTGACGATTTTCGAGCCTCGCACAGTAATCGGAATAAATAGCGATCGATTGCTGTCGTTGGATACGTGCGAGACATACAAGGGTCCTTCTGACGTCAAGGCAGAGGACCTTACTGAAAACCCTTCAACAGTTCTGGGAGCACCTCCGCGCGTTCTTCCTCCGTCATCGAGCCCCAGTCTTCGACGACTCGGACTCGAGTGGTCTTCTGTGGCTGTTGTTGCGGTCTGCCTCGACCTCGGCCAAAGCCTCCTCCACGGCGTGGACTGTCCGTGCATTCACGCCCGCGGTGTCCGGGTTTGTGGCATATGAAACAGAGTCCATCGCGGATGTGGCGCATCCGTTCCTCCTGTGTCATCCGGTCGATGTCCATCGGCTCGTCAACGCGTCCATAGGGGTTGGTAAGGACGCGGTCAGGCTGGTGCTGCGCCGAGAGATTGCGAGCCATCTCGACGTACCCATCAAAGTTTGAGGGAGGTGGGTAGTGGCTGGAAATCGACCTCCAGAGCTCGGGTCGAATGGTGTTCTTTAACTCGTAGATCTTGTTGCGCTCTTCTGTGACACCCGCACGAGCGAGGAGAGTGATTAGGAGGTTAAGATAGTCGTTAGTGCCCATCTTTCCTTGTTTGAGGGCACGCAATGTCGACGTGGCCTGGTCTTGGGCACGGTGAATTGGGAAGGCTTTACGAAGCTCCTTCTTCAACTCGTCATAGGTGTTAAACCGTCGTTTCCCTTCAGCCGTGGCCTGTGTGTCGAGAGTCTGGTGGAGGAGGAGCCAGTTGGCTGTCTGTGTCGATTCACGATCAAGGTAAGAGAGGAGGAGGGCGATCTTCTGCGAGTCGGGGACTTTCTCGTATCCTGCGGCGACGAGGTAGTTGTCGATGTCATAGAGGAAGGTCTCAAGCTTAGCCGGATCTCCTTTGAATCTCCCTGGCTCTTTCAC